ACCGACGAATACTACATGAAATTCACAAGTTTCGATGATATCATCAATGGAAGATCCAACCATGATGTACCAGTTCATAAGTATTTTTGTTTTTCTTTATAAGTGAGATATACTTGTGTACTTAATGATGAGTTAGCAGATTAATTTTTTTGCATTATTTTTAGATGTCTTAGGTCGGATATCTATGCTTACGGATATTGTCAAAGTAAAAGATACTGACTTTGGGCTCATGTGTCCTGCCAACACATGCCAGCTCTCATTTGCTATCCAGAACACACAGTATGTTTAATTTAAAGTTGAATGAATATATATGGATGATATTATTTCGGTATTTATCTTGATGCATCTAAAGTGCTTTATCTTTGTGAATATTTACATTTAATTATGACAGAGGGACAAATCTCAGTTGTGTTGCTCATGGGAAACTTGCACTTGAAATTACTAAGAAATGGTGGAACTTCAACTCGAATAACATGGTTTGTGTCCTAGGTGATTTACGTGTGGTCAATGTTGGAGGTATGTTTACATATAAATTTTGATGTTAATTTATATTTTTAAACTGTACCATTTTATTTAGCGATTAATATGTGATCCTTTTATATAGAACATTTTTAACTGGTGGATGCTGGAGAAGTATCGAGATTTTTGTATGATCCAGACATTTCCGAGGCTAGAAGGTTCAAACGTGCATTGTAAGTATAATAAAGCTTAAACCGTGTTTTACGTCCTTATTCATGATTCTCAAAACCAACTATTTATATTGTTTTTGTTCTTTCAGGAATGGCAATGACGAAGACTCTGACTAAAATATCTATTATGTTTCACAATTTCTCACCAGAAGGGTTTAAAAAAAAATATATATTATGTTGTGTTCAACCTTAAATTATGGATTTATGTTTTTGAAACAATTTTATATTTTTGGCAATGAAAACCATAATTTATTCAGTTTAATTCTTGCTATTGCTTTTCGGCAATGAAGACCATAACAATTTTAAGTAAAAACACTCTCGATATTTCAATATATCCAATAGAATCGAACGATTTTGTACCAAGTAACATTGAATCATATCTAGGACTTACTTGGTTTTATCTGAAGACCACTGCTTTTTTTTTTTGGTTTCCCAATCGCTTTAGATAGAGTATGCTTTGGAAACCGAAGAGTTAAAAAAATGTATTAGTTTATCGTTGATTTTGGGCCAAGAGAGAAGTAATATCAGTCTAACTTCAATTAATACACTAAGCTCCTATTTTTAAACATCTTAAAAAACTAATATATATATATATATATATATATAATCGAAATATTATTGAACAACCAAATAGAATAAAAAATAACTTATTAAGAGACCACACCACTATTACAAATCATAGACGGTCTAAATGCAAATCATAGATAACATAATACAATAAAATTACACTAAGCTCAACTGAATATCATTGAAAGTGTTTCTCTTTAAAACATACACGACCAAGCAGATACATCCAAGAATTTGAAGACTTCTATCTTTGATGATCCCAATATGTCCTCTACAATCCAAGATCAACATTGGATAAATCATTAAGTACACCATTGTAAGAACCCTATCACACATTAAACATTACAATTAAAAAAAAAATCATCAAATATAAATATAGAAAAACATCAAATACAGTTTGATCTTATTAAGAGAATATAAATATCACAAAATAGACTTTACACAAACTATGAAACATTAAGTCAATAGAAAAATCATAACGGCACAAACCTCTCGAGTAAAATGTGAATATATCGACAATATATTCAAAAGTGTGATCACGCCACACCTCCAAATCCCCAACTAAAAGTGAACGACCATTAGCCATCAGAAACAAAACAAAAACTCAAATCAATATCACAAAATACTTAACAAAAATAATCTTTTTAAAATTCATCAACCAAGACTATAGGATATACCAAACTAAATCAAAACGAATACATAGTACCTGAATATACATGAAAAGAAACTAAAGAAGCATATACAAAATCAAATTATATTTTCCATTAAAAACTACGAAAACGAAATAACATTTTGATAAAACCTCACAAACCCGAAACCAGCATATATAGACGATTATCCAGTCATGAATAAAAAGATAAAAAAATACGAACGAAAATAACATAATACATATGTATATTCACTATAAACAGAGAACATACCGTTGATTTATCATCAACAATTCGAGAACCGCCTACATAATACATATAAAGAATTCATTAGATAAACATAAACAAATAAATCCTTCAAATAACTGTTACATAAGAAAATATTAATCAAATATACATAAGAAAATATTAATCATATATAAAATTAAAAACATGATCAACTGCAAAACTACAAAGAAGGAAACAACATCTCGGTGATTCTTCATGTAATCGAAACGCAATCAGCGCCGAAAACCTATCCGTCAACCAAATAAAAAAAGGTTAAACGAAAATCCAAATCAACAAAAGAACGTAATACATCTATATCGTAATACATCTATATGATATATGTAGAGAGCATACCGTCTAAGCAGAGCAGTAATTCAAGAAGATCAACAAAGCCATCAATTGCATGTATATAAAACAATTCATTAGATACGCTTATGAAAATATCACCAAAATACAAAATCTAACAAACACGAAGAATAAATAAACAAATCGATAATTTTTGCCGATCCTAGAATATTGAACTATATATATAGAGAAGACTAGGGTTACATGACAACCGCTCATACATTATGGGCCACGGTCCATATTAAAAAAATAATCTTTAAATTCTAGAAAATATACGAAACTACCTAATTTTAGGATAATGGTAACTATATTTCCAGTTTGATAACCATAGGATTATTAAATCAACAAATATTCCTTTTTGATTATTTCCCAACTTATTTAGTAATATTTAGTAATTAAAAAATGTTGGAGATATCTAAAAATTAAATTCGAGATATACACAAAATCAGAAAAAAATAATATTGAAAATCTTGGAAAATAGTAGAATAGATTAGCGATTTCTTCATTAAGGGTATTTAGGTAATGTTTAGTGAGATTAAATGAGAGAGCTATATTCCTCAAATCACTTCGCAAATAATGTCTTAGAAAGGAGAAAATTGAAAGTATATATGTTTCATAGTATCAGTCATTTTGGATTATTTGCTCTAAAAATAAAAGAAAGGAATTAGGGTTTCAAGAACGTAGTATCGTTGAGCCACAAGTTTGAGAGTAGTCTCTACGAGGGCTACGATCCTAATTGAGCAATTGGCCCCATGAATGAACGGCAAGAGAAGAGGAGAAAGATCCAGAGATCAACAACACATGATGATGATGATAGATAGATCTCCAACAACCCCAATTCCTCTTGATCTAGTACCGGAGATACTCTCAAGACTTCCTGCAAAATCGTTAGTGAGATACCTCTGTGTCTCAATGCTCTGGTCTTCCTTCACCAAACAACAAAGTTTTATAAACTCGTTCGCGACTCGTTCGTCCGAACGGCCACCGCGTATTCTGCTCACCTTCTTAGCAAACTCGAAGCGATTCGTTATCTCGGTTCCTCAAGACAGCTCTTATCCTCCGGTAGAAAGTTATCAGATGACAAACACTCCTTAAGATTTGAGTTTTTCTCGATCCAAGTGCGTTCAGGGCTTGATTTTATTAAAAGACGGATTCGTAATATGGAATCCGGCCATGAGACGGTTTTTACAGTTACCAAATCCTGAAACAAGCTCAATCAATAAAAGAATGTCTTTTTTAGGTTACGACCCATTGGGGTGTAAACACAAAGTACTGCAAGTAGAAAATTCTGGACATGCTCGGGTTCTTACATTGGGAGCTCAAAAATCATGGAGAACAATTGCCAAAGGTACGATCCCTTCATAATCCCCACTTGGAGGAGAATGTGGGCGATGCTTCAATGAAATTCTCTATTATTCCATTGGTAAACTTATAATGAGCTTTGATGTCAGGTCTGAAAATGTAACGACCCGGGTCCAGCCCATATTAATAAATTTAAATGGATTGATTTGGCTATCTATGTCACCCAAAGTGCACTTATCTTTTCGGTTAGTGGGCCCGAGAGAACTCTAGAGTTAAGCGTGCTTAAGCTGGAGTAGGACTAAGATGGGTGACCTTTCGGGAAGTGATTCACGAAACCGTGTGAGTGAGGCCAAAACACAGGGAAGGATCATGTGGTGATTGCAGGGTCAGTAAATAAGTCGGTTGGGCTCCGAAAAAAATAACGCATCGGCCGTCGGACAGGGGCGGGGCCCACGAGCCCGACGGAGGGATGGGTGACTTGCCGGTAGGGGCGGTCGGGGGCGTTACAAGTGGTATCAGAGCCTGGGAAGTCAGACTGGTTCGGTCCCAAGAGACTGTCTTGGGGTTTGGGGGTTAAGACTCACACTGTCTGGATCAGAATTCAGAGACAAATTCCTGTTTAGTGGAAGAGAATTGTAATGACCCGGGCCCAGCCCATATGAATAAATTTAAATGGATTGATTTGGCTACCTATGTCACCAAAGTGCACTTATCTTTTCAGTTAGTGTGCCCGAGAGAACTTCAGAGTTAAGCGTGCTTAAGCTGGAGTAGGACTAGGATGGATGACCTTTCGGAAAGTGATTCCCGAAACCGTGTGAGTGAGGCCAAAATACAGGAAAAGATCATGTGGTGATTGCAGGGTCAGTAAATAAGTTGGTTGGGCTCCAGAAAAAATAACGCACTGGCCATCGGACAGGGGCGGGACCCACAAGCCCGATGGAGGGATGGGTGACTTACCGACAAGGGCGGTCGGGGGTGTTACAGAAAAGCTCAATCGGATGAAAATTCCTGAGGGTTATGGTCATTTTCCGGTTCAACTTCTTATACCTTATGAGGGAAGGCTAACCTTAGTTAATCCAGACACTTTCAGGGATAGGGTTGATCTATATATCTTGTAAGATGCAGATGGATATGAATGGACGCATTAACGCATTGTTTTACCTTCTCATAGAGATAAAAGAGAATGGAGGCGTTTTCTAAGTTTTCATGGTGTTACTGATGCTGGTGAGCTTATCTTTGCACCAGGCAGTTTCTCTGAATCGTTGTATATTCTATATTTAGATCCGAGGAGAAAGTCCCAAGAGACTGTCTTGGGGTTTGGGGGTTAAGTCTCACACTGTCGGGATCAGAATTCAGGGACGAATTCCTGTTTAGTGGGGGAGAATTGTAATGACCTCGGCCCAGCCCATATGAATAAATTTAAATGGATTGATTTGGCTACCTATGTCACCAAAGTGCACTTATCTTTTTGGTTAGTGTGTCCGAGAGAACTTCAGAGTTAAGCGTGCTTAAGCTGGAGTAGGACTAGGATGGGTGACCTTTCGGAAAATGATTCCCGAAACCATGTGAGTGAGGCCAAAATATAGGGAAAAATCATGTGGTGATTGCAGGGTCAGTAAATAAGTTGAAAAAATAACGCACCGGCCGTCGGACAGGGGTGGGGTCCACGAGCCCGACGGAAGGATGGGTGACTTACCGGTAGGGGCGGTCGGGGGCGTTACAGAAAAGCTCAATTGGATGAAAATTCCCGAGGGTTATGGTTATTTTCCGGTTCAACTTCTAATACCTTATGAGGGAAGGCTAACCTTAGTTAGTCCAGACACTTTCAGGGATAGGGTTGATATATATATCTTGCAAGATGCAGATGGATACGAATGGACGCATAAACGCATTGTTTTACCTTCTCATAGAGATAAAAGAGAATGGAGGCGTTTTCTAAGTTTTCATGGTGTTACTGATGCTGGTGAGCTTATCTTTGCACCAGACAGTTTCTCTGAATCGTTGTATATTCTATATTTAGATCCGAGGAGAAACAGTATTAGAGAAGCCTTGTTTGAAGGAATTCTTGGTGATGAATTTAGAAGCCGTTATGGAGTTGGTAAACATGAAACAATCAGCGAATGGGGTATCTTCTTCCGGACTCACATTGAGAGTCTCGTGTCTTCTTTGTAAAGCATCACTCAATGCTCCTCAATGTCTTTTGTTTTTGTTTTTTCCGTTTCAATGACACTTTAAGTTTAAGTTTTATAAAACTATATGGTTTTCTTGTTTATTTTTTCCTCCACTCGAGAAATATTTTGTAGTCGCAAACCATCTGCCTTATCTTTTAGTGTTATGTCATCTGTTAATGATGATGAGATGGAAGATGATTTGGAGGGGCTGAGGATAATTTAGGCTGTAAAGATGATTTTGAGTATGCTGATTACGAAAATGGCATGATGATATATATTAGTGTTAAGCTAGTATTTTTTGTCAAAGTGTTACGCTAGTATAAGCTTGGTTTTTTCAGAAACTATTATGCAATTGCTTTTTTCTCTACTCTTATTCTTTATTGGTTTCGATTGGTGCTTTGGTATTTTTTATTAGTTTTTGTTATTATTTTTTGATGTCTAAATTATTATTTTTCATTATAAATTATGAGAATATCTACAAAAGTAACTTCACATACAATTTTTCTGTTCCGCAAATATTCACGACCACAAGAAACGAATTACACGATGTTGAAGGCTTCCTTAACATTTTAGTCAATCACAATGGGGTTCCATAATTGGATTTTTTATTAATTTAAAACAAAAATTGATACAAACCTAGCCGCCGAGAGAGAAAAGAGAGTTTTTCGTGGCTTTCTGGCCGATGCCACTCGCCTTAGACACCTAATTCGCCAAGCGCCCATATACAGAACCAGTTAAATCATAACAAAACATATATGAAGAAAACAGAAGCATGTTTCTTGTCCCACAGGCAATCCTTCCTTGCTGCACTTCGCATAATTGGAACCATTGCTCTTACACAGAAAAAATAGCATTCACATTTGATTTTTGTAACATTCTGAACAAACTTTCTTTCACAAAAAAAAAAAAAGAGAGGAATAATCCTATCCCTAACTAACTAATGTTAGTCAACGTCATCATTGAAACCGAGAATTCACATTGTTGAAAGTATCTTCAGGACAAGGAATCGTTAATCTACCCATTGGAGATCAAGTCCAAATTCTTCCTTGAAAGTATATTCAGGACAAGGAAGGCTGGTTTAAATAAGAGACTGACACCAAGGATCTCTTCTTCTGGACCTGGTTTTCTGACGTACACCGCAAGGAACCCCTTTGCTGCTGAAACAGTTCTTTTGCTTTTAGCCGCTACAGAAAAGCCAATAATCTTCTATGCACCCAAAAGACCCCTGGACAAAGCCATTTATTGTGTTTTGGAAAATCTAAATTTGTAGCTTCTGGAAAAAATGTTAAATTTGTAGCTTGTGGAAAAACTATAACTTTATTATTTACATTGTCTCTTCTAGTCATTTATTGATACTTCTATTTTTACACATAACATAACCCATTATTTCTATCATCAACCAATAAACAAGCAATATTCCAATAACTTGAATCTTTTCGTACATTTTTAGAGACTTCTAAAGAATTCTAACTTTAAGACAAAATAAATAGAAATGGCTTTGGAGAGAAGTCTATTGAGCGCAAAGAAGATACTTGGCCACTCCGTAACTGCAACGGCCACAACAAGCAAAAGGGCAGCCTCGGCTGTGCCAAAAGGGTTTCTTGTAGTGTACCGTAGAGAGCAAGAAGAAGAGATATGTGGTGCCAATCTCATACTTGAGCCAGCCTTCGTTTCAAGCTCTTCTCAGCCAACCAGAAGAAGAGTTTGGCTTCGATCTATTAGGGAATATTATTCCCCATTAGAAGTTGGAAAGAATCCGAACAATATATAAAAAACATGAACCAATTCACTCATTTGCCAACTGATTTTTGGTTGGAAATCCATGTAGTTTCACATAGTATCAAATCCCAATTTACATAATCCAACCCGATCCGATCCAAAATTACTCCAATCATCAACCAGGCCCGAAATTGGTGTCGTTGATCCAAACCCAGATATATCAAGATCAATGGCTAGATATATCAAGATCAATGGCTAAGGTAACCATTTTCTCAAGAAACGTATTAAAGAATATTATCACACATCAGAAGTTGGAAAGAATCATAATTAATATATAAAACATGGATTAATCTACTTATTACCAATTGATTTTGGGTTAGAGATTCATGTAACTTAAAACAATTATCGAATGGGTGGCTTAAGATACCTTATCCTCAAGATATCTTCATCAACGTAACGTCTCGGCTCCAAAGATGAATTGATGATTATCCATCATATTGTTATCCATCATATGACATGCTGTCTCGTGTTTCTTGTCCTGTTTCTCCGAATGTCGTGTGGTGTTCCTGACTTAACGTCGTTGATTGTCGAATCGAGAGAGAGAGAGAAAGGTCAAAAAGAAGATATTACCATTTACACAATATCGAGAGAAAAGTGTAAAGGGAAAAAATCTTTATTAACCTTGAAATGTGTCGTTACAGAGATTTATATACTAACTTTTAACCGGATATAATAGAATAATAAACCGGATAATTCGAAAGCCTTTAACCAAGAGTAATATGTACACGTATAAACCGACTATATGTACAGATTGTAATAGCCCCCTCAAGATGGAGGTGCAAAGATGTTGTTAACACCTATTTTGCCAATGAGTTCTCGGTATAGAGCTGGATGCAAAGCCTTGGTGAGAGCATGTGCCAGTTGGCGACTCGATTTAACAAATATAGTCTTGAGAAAATCATAATATATCGCTTCACGGATCTTATAGCAATCAATTTCAACATGTTTGGTCCTCTCGTGAAAGGCCGAATTGTTAGCAATGTGAATGGCAGCGGTATTATTACAATATAGATGAGCAGCAGTTTGAAAGGGTACCTTCAAGTCCATCAGTAAACAAGATAACCATATCATCTCCTTTGTAGCAATAAACATTGCTCGAAACTCTGTTTCAGCCGTACTACAGGAGACGGTATCCTGTTTCTTTGACTTCCAGAAAACCAAAGAATCACCAATAAACATGCAGTAGCCAGTCACAGAACATCTAGTATCAACACAAGCTTTCCAATCAGCATCTACATTTCCTCTCAAATCGAACTTTAGTATTCGCAGGATAGAATAGTCCTTGATCCAGTGTACCTTTCAAGTAACGTAACAATTTGTGTGCAACATTAAGATGTATGTCACGAGGGATCATGTGAAAACTGACACAAAGTGTTGACGGCATAAGAGATGTCAGGTCTTGTGGAATGTAGGTACATGAGCTTCCCAGTTAACTTTCGGTAGGAGGAAGGATCCTATAAAGGAACACATGTGTCCTTGGAGAACTTCACACTAGGATCCATATGGATATTTGACGGTTTTCTTCCAAGGAAACCAGTAGTAGCCATAAATTCCAGAATGTACTTCCTTTGGCATACTGATATACCTACATCAGAACGTGTTATTTCCTAACACAGAAAATATTTTGCTTCACAGAGATCCCTAAGCTTGAAGTGAGATTTCACTTCTCTTTAAAAGTAATCATAGCTTGGTCATTATTGCTTACGATCAAAATATCATCAACGTAGACCACATACCAAGGATGACACCATCATGATATTTGATGAAAAAAGTGTGATCATCTTGAGATTTAGTGAAACCCATACTAATTAGAGTAGATGAGAGCTTGAGAAACCAATGTCTAAAGGCTTGTTTCAGACCGTATATACACTTGTGTCTGCAAACAACATTAGGAGGCAAAGAATCACCTTGTAAATCAGCATAACCAGGGGAATCTTCATGTATATCTCCTCGTCAAGGTCACCATTCAATAATGCATTAGAGATATCAAGTTGACTCACTGACCAGTTCATTTTAGCAGCAGTTAGAAGAAGCATATGAACTGGATTTTTATTGGTAACAGGGAATAATGTTTCTTCGTAGTCCAATCCCTCTTGTTGAGTGAATCCCTTAGCAACCAGTCAAACTTTGTATCTCTCAATTCTTCCATCAGAATTATACTTGATCGTGAAGACCCACTTGCAACCAATAGCCTTCTTGTTAGGTGGTAAATTAGTAATACTCCATGTATGAGTCCTTAACATAGCATCAATTTCTACTTTCGCAGCATCACACCACACCTTCAAATCCTTGGCTTCCGAATACTTTCGTGGGACAAATGTATTTGTGATGATGTTTGTGAATGCACGAAAAAAGCTCAGATAGATTTGAATAAGAGATATAATTGGTAATAGGATATAGAATAGTACTAGTAGTATTATAACAATGAAAGTCCTGCAAGTGTTTATGGGTTTTCTTTTGTCTGTGAAATTTAGTTTTGTAGGGAATTATACATAACCTTGGAAGATGACATATTTTGATGTAAATGTGCATCGGAAGATGTTTGCACAAGAGGCAGAGGAACATCAATGGGAGCAGGAGAATGAAAACGAGGAAAGAAATCTTTGGTTACATCTGTGATATTTGATGAAGCCAAAGGGAAATCCTCATGAAAGATGACATGGCGAGAAATGAAAACGGCATGTGTCTATATATCTAATAGCCTGTATCCCTTATAACCCGCCAAATATCCTAAGAATATGCATGTTTTAGCATGTGGTTTAAACTTATGTCTACCCTTAGGAGAAGTAGAACTATAGCATAAACAACCAAATATTTTTAAGAACTGATAGGCAGGGGTTTTGCTAGTGAGTTTCTCATAGGGATATTTATTGTCTAAAACCGGAGTTGGGAGTCTATTGATTAAGAACACAACTGTTAAAACACAATCACCCCAATACTCGAAAGGCACATTAGATTGAAATAAAAGGGCATGAGCAACATTTAGTATGTGTTGATGCTTTCTCTCTACAACTGAGTTCTGTTCAGGTGTTTCAGGACATGATTGATATGCAACAATTCATTTTTCAGTGAATAAGGGAGTAAATTTTAGCTCATGCACATTATCAGATCTAACGGATTGCACTTTCAGTCTACATTGAGTCTCAACCGTTGCAAGAAAACCAGAGAATATATGCAGAACATCAAATTTTTGTGTCATTAAGTAAATTCAAGTTGCTTTAC